CTAGTATATCCGCTTACATGTAAGTTAGCAGGTCTATCTAATCTAAACAGTGCCTTGATGTGTCTAACTACATTACTTTAGACCTAGTAGATCCACTTACATATAAGTTAGCAGGTCAATCTAATCTAAACAGTGACTTGATGTGTCTAACTACCTTACTTTAGACCTAGTATATCCGCTTACATGTAAGTTAGCAGGTCTATCTAATCTAAACAGTGACTTGATGTGTCTAACTACCTTACTTTAGACCTAGTATATCCGCTTACATGTAAGTTAGCAGGTCTATCTAATCTAAACAGTGACTTGATGTGTCTAACTACATTACTTTAGACCTAGTAGACCCACTTACATGTAAGTTAGCATGTCCATCTAATCTAAACAGTGACTTGATGTGTCTAACTACATTACTTTAGACCTAGTGGATCCATTTACCTGTAACTTGGCAGGTCCATATAATCTCATACTGACTTGATTTAGCTAACTAAATTATTTTAGACTTAGCTTGTCCATCTACCTGTGACTTAGAATGTTATCTTAATCTGTTTGTGGTTGTGAATCAATTAGCTTTGTAGTAAATACTGAATGAAAATCAGTGGTCTACAAAGATATTTACACTATAGCATATAGTCTACACATATACTATCATCATTACTGTTTTAATGATTCATTAAAACATAATTTCTTACTAGATAATTTATGTCTGTCCACATTTTTGTTCAGCAAATAATAATAACTTAACAAGTTGTGTGTTCCAAAAGAGTACCTTAAAGTTAGGTTATAATTGTGCTAGTTCTGATTGTTCGAGGTTATTTCATTCTTATTATATTTGTCTCAAAAATGTTATGTAATGGTATTTTGTACTTTATTAGTTTAAAAGTAGTATTTATAATAACTGTCACCAATTGCAAATAAACAAAAGTTAAAATGGTGATGATGATAGTATCTGTGTAGACTGTACGCTATAAGGTAAATATCTGTGTAGACCGCACGCTATAATAGCATCGAAAAATCTACTTCATCATATTTTAAAACTATGTAAAGAAATTAAGTATTGAACAGCAAAATCTTTCTAGTTTACAGTCAACTACAGATGGATGACATATATAGTAGAATGTGTAAAATGTACATAAATTTGGAAACACTACAGTGAAACTTAATTATGTATAATACATAAGCATTTGATTTAATGTCCCAGGTTTATAGTGGTCCAAGATAGGAATTTGTGTGTTTGTTTTTAATACAAGGTATGCTTTGGTCACACCATTTCATAGTTTGTTATGAATGGAAGATGAAACACAGAAGTCTTACTACACTTCTTACAATCATTTAATATAGTTATTACAAGGACAAAATTAACATTTTAGTCTTTATCGGGGACTTTTTAAACGGTGATAATTGCCTTATTACAAAAAACAAAAAATGAATTTATTTAGCAGAGATTAGTAAAGCTGACACTTGCATTACTTGTCAGCCAGCTGTGTTAGGATAATATTTTACAGTGTACAGAGTATACATTAACAGTAACATACATACAATATGGAACTATCTAGCCCTTGAAGGCTGTCCCTGTATACCCACTCTCAAGAAAAATAAAAATTTAAACCTCCATTTTTCATGAAAGTATTTTGATTCCTCTGTTAAACTTCTGTAAAGGGCTGCCTCCCACTACTACAAAACCATAACTCATTCTATTAAATCAGTCACCCTTTTAATAACATAGTCTTAATTGGAGTTCTGATTTGTGAAGGAAGTTTGCTATGATTAGTAATTAATTATGATTCACAACAAAATAACAAACAATGAAGTTACAAATGGTCTTAGATCATTAGGAAGGCTAAGCTTAAAATAAAATTAATGTAAACACAGCCTTAGCCTATGACTGCACAATACAACGAATACTCAATGTACACAATAAAAGAGACTCAACTGTACTTTTATAATTTTTGATGGCATAATTAATTTTAATTAATATATTACAGATTTCAAAAGTTAAAACTGAAAATCTATTGACACATAGGCCTAATACATTCCTCGATTTGCCGCAGTCCAAAGCAGAGGTTGCAGTGAATCAAAGAAAATGCATTAAACTTTATGTCACAGATTATATTTCAAATTTTACCTTTGGTGAAAAGAAGTCTAATATAATAATTACACAGTTGGTCTACTGTATAATATGAATAATAAATTAGGTACACTGCCACAACATTACTCGCACACCTAATTTAATTTAGGTTACTATATGGTGAGTTAACCCATTGACTGCTAATTTGCTGTATAGGGTATGGTCCTCCTCCAGCAATTGAATGCAAGTGTGCTGTACTTGCAAACATTCTGTGCACATTTAGAGCTGCCATAGTCAATGGGTTAAAAAGGGCTTAAAAACTCCATAAATGTTAGCCTTTACCTTTATAACATACAACTTCTGAAGAAATTATAAAAATATGATATTGAAAAATCAAACAAAAAGAACATTAGCTGCTAAGCAATAATAAACATGACAATAAAAGTTTTACCCCTTTCTACATATTTCCATAGAAATATACAAGTTCATTTATAAAAGTATTAACAAAGATTAAAGCCCAATTCTAAAAATGTAGTAATGGCTCTAATAAAATATTTTTTTCTGTAAATGCTATAAATGCACTTTATTTTTAGTAATGTTTTTAAAACTTGTTCAGTAATGTCTATTACCAAGTCAGTATTATCAGCAAATGTTTCAAAGATCAGTTGTAATGTGAACTTTGTTTACTAGCACCTTATCAGGTCAAGTCAATGTCAATAGGTCTTTTTATCTATACAGAATAAATTTCTGAAACTCCCCTTGAATATACAAGATACAAGTACTGTGAAATGTGCAATATAATGAGATTTTACAAGCTATTACTACTATACCAGACAATTTTACTGTCATCACTGGAAGCTACAGTAAGAACAGAAAACATTAAAAAGTTAGTTCCAATTGCATCTCTCAAAAAACAATAAAAGAGGTTTTAACAAAACCTATTCAACCCACCGAGATAACCCTTTAACTCTCCAAACCACCAATTTCATCTAAATGTCGATTTTCATCTTTATATACTTAACTAGAAAAAAATACTAAAACTCAATCAACTAACCAAAACACAGTATCAAGTAAATCATCTCTTTTGTAATTAATAAAAAACAGTTCTACTTAAAGTCTTGGGTTAAATTAGTCTATCAATAGATGTTGAGGTCATACTTTCAACATCTGGACATGGAATAAGTTTGCAGTCTAGCTAATCCTTTAAAATGTACCAACAGACATTTTGCTGATATATTCAATAATGTAAGAAACCTCCTGTCATGATGTTAGCAAGTTGTGTACATTAATTATACAAGTAGAGAACTCTTATTTACAGTATCTTTCCATTCTCATGTATACTTTTTGTCTTCTACAATTAGTCCAAGTTTCACACTGTTTCATTAAAACATCTCAAACTTAAATGAATATTTGATATTCTTATAAAATTCATAACTACACTATGAAACTTAATATGATGTGTCATACATTTTTACAATAAAAGAAATGGCCCAATGAACAATTTTAAATTTTTTTATAATTGGACTGAAACATAAGAGCATGTCTAAATATTAAAACTCAGACCCTGGGGTTAAATAATAAACCTGGTGTTTACATTCCAGCTTCCAAGCTTCTGTTTAGATAAGTTAAAGAGACCCCCCAGATTTATTAGATTTTTTATAACTGGCTGGAGTTTATTTTATTGTACTTACTGTAAAGTAATATACACACTGTATATTTTACCTCATCTAACATGCACATTTAAGAACTGTTTATACTGCCTGCATTTGAACAGCCTCTAGAAGCTTTAAACTTGTAAATGGTAAATTTTCCTCTGCAAAATCTTAAGGAATTGATAGAAACAAAAATTCTCAATTTCTTCATTATAAAATATTATATCTTATAATTATTACTAAACAAGATTTCAATCCCTATAATTTTAAATGTTTTCGAACAATTAAATTTAAAGTTAATGCAAGTTAAAATACAATGGTCTAGTCTCAGTGTTACTTGAAGTAACACTTTATGCATGAATAATAATAAATCAGCTACAGCATGATAAGATCTGAAAACAGTGTTGTAAGGGTAAATAATTAGATGATCAGCAATTA